GCCTACCCCAGTCCCACTCTCCTTGTATGCCTTGAATTCAAATTTGCCGGAAAATTCATCGCACAGAGGATTTTTGCCAACGCTTCCATCTGAGCATAATTGCTATACCGTGCTGGCAAACTCTCCGGGTTCTTGTAGCTCTCCGACGGTTGAATTTGGGTTACTAGTGAAAGATGGGGGAAGCCATTACACATTCCAGTATACCACGAGAAACATGGCAGACGCGCTGTAGCTCAAATAAACATCTTTTCTTGGCTTATCAACGTTTAGTAGGCTAAATAGGCAGTAATTGAGTGTGTTGGCGTTAGTGGTGCGTCTATGTCTCACCGTGTGTGTGTGGGGGGCATGCGTGCGTGCGTGCGTGCGTGCGTGCATGTATCTCCCTCTCTCTCTCTCAATCTGTGTGGGTGTGTGTGTGTGTGTGTGTCTGTGTGTCTGTGTGTGTGTGTGCGTGCGTGCGTGCGTGCGTGCGTGCGTGCGTGCGTGCGTGTGTGTATGTCTGTGTGTGGCCGAGTCGTGTGTCTGGGGGGGGGGGCTACTTTTTCTTCATATTGAACTTGTTAACCTAGCAATCATCTGAGTAAAATACTGTTTAGAGCGTACAACTGTATGCTCGAGTCTAAACGTACGAAACATCTAAATGTAAGACTACACTCGTTCAAATGGCACCAAGTAAAATCGTAGCAACAATAGTGGGTATTCGCTGTTCTGCATCAGAAAGTGATGAATGCTGGGATATTTTTGTTTAATGTTATAGCGATTTCGTAAAATTACAGGCAGAGAGTGGATGAATTAGGGGAGAGAGTACAGAATGGGATATGAAGAGAAAGAGGGGTTGGCGAGGGTTATAAAGCGAGAGTAGAGAGAGAGAAAAGGAAGAAGAGAGCGAGGTGAATAGAGCGAGAGAGAGCGCGCGCGTGCGTAGGTTCGTGCGTGTGTGCGCGTGATGGTAACGGCATTGGCGTTGTAGTGGTGTTGTGGGAATCATGTCCTGGAACATGAGTATTAAATTTGATATTGATTAGTATGCTTAAATGTCAAATAACCCCCGCCGCATGTCCATGCGTGTACATGTATTCATCCATCCATCCATTCATCCATCCATCCATCTATCCATCCATCCATCCATCCATCCATCCATCCATCCATCCATCCATCCATCCATCCATCCATCCATCCATCCATCCATCCATCCATCCATCCATCCATTCCATCCCATCCATCCATCCATCCATCTATCCATTCCATCCATCCATCCATCCATCTAATCCAACCCATTCATCCATTCATCCATCCACCCACCCATTCCATTCCATCCATCCATCCATCCATCCATCCATCCATCCATCCATCCATCTATCCACCCATTCATCCATTCATCCATCCATCCATCCATCCATCCATCCATCCATCCATCCATCCATCCATCTATCCATCCATTCATCCATCCGCCTATCCATCCATAAATCTTTCGCTCTTCTCTTTCACAATTTCTCTCTACTCCTTCTCTCTCTCTTTCTATCTTCTTCTCTCTCTTCTCTCTCTCTCTCGCTTCTCTCTCTCTCTCTCTCTCTCTCTCTCTCTCTCTCTCTCTTCTTCCGTCTCGCTCGCTCTCTCTCTCGCTCTCTTTCTCTTTCTTCCCCATTTTTCTGCTATATGTAAACTATTATTTCACATTTAATTACACATTTTAAACATTGCTGCGCGTAGCGTTATGGTATTGTTGATTATTGGTATTGGTAGTGGTTTGACATATTAATTATTTCGAAAGCTGTGCTATACGCTAAATGTGTATCATCCAAATGGTACGTGAGTCGCATGCTTTTGGCCTTATTCTTATGTTAACAATATAACACAATCAAACATTTGTGAATTATTCATGATCTGTGTTGTTTATTTACTGTAATGTAAATCGGCGTGCAGTCACGGTGCAGTTATAAAATAATGATTATTAGTTCTTTTGACAGACACGGAAACCGTTGAATCTGGCGTGATGTTAACAGAATGCCTGTTAGAGATGATATTGATTCGTTGTTCGCTAGGGTGCATGATGCCGGCTAACTATTGAGGCGCATAACAACGGCTTCCACCATCAATGCCGTTGGGTTTTCAAGAGATTTCAAGCATTTAGAGTGCATTGAGGAGCGAATTGGCAGAATAGAGCTTTATGGGGTGCTAAAACGTATGGCATTATACGGGGCGATTACAAACTGCTGGCTAGAAGCCTCCATTCGTCAGTATACTTTAAAGTGATGTTTGCTTTCATGTTCATAAAATTCGTTTTGAGATATATTGCTATATACTTTTAGGAATTTGTTAGATGGAAGTTTTGTGGAAGTTGTTTCTATATATATATATATATTATCGTAGCATACGCATTAGTCTGTTGGGTGTTATTACCAGTTTGTGACTGTTGCGGGAAAGTGATATATCTATGTACGCTGACGAACCGTAATCTCTGGACAATATGAAATAAAAATATTGCCGTTCACCTGGTTTGGAAATACTAATTGTGTAGTCATGTGACAACAATTCAAATTCACAATATATATATACTGTGCATCCAAGCGTTGCGAACATATTTATTATTACATTGCTTCTTTGAATCTTTGAATCTTTGAACCTTTGAATAGGACAAATAATCACTTTTCAAAATCTCACAAAGCTCGTGTCGGCCTTTGCTTGCGCGATACAGTTCGCCCACCATATAATGTTTTACACACGGTGCCGCATTTGGTTTATGAAGCTAACTTGTTTCGAACAATCTATATAGCCCGTGAGTTTAAAATGTGTGAGTCAGTGGCATTCAATAAACGAGTTTTAAGACAATTAAGCTGATTATTTGTTAAATCAACAAACGCTCGACAGAACGATATGCGACTATTGCGCGTTAATTGGTAACTTAATTAATTGGTAGATACACGTATATGTAGAAAATCCCTATCGCCCAGTACTGTGAATGCGATCTAACCACAAATCCCTAGAAACCCATCACTTTTCATTTTAGTAAACTTCAGTCATGAGTGCCTGAAATAGATTTAACGAAAGGCAGATACTGCATCTGGCATCAAAGCTAATGAAATTGACATGTATCCATATGAGTGGTGGAACAGCGCGTCATAGAATAACACATTTTTATACAAGCGCGTATCTGATTTGCCGAGACAGCAGCCCTAATATCGACAACCTAGTAAAGATACAACATGCGGGTAATTCGCAGGTATTAATTTTCTCTGTGACGATTTACCATTAGCGTAATTGATTCTGGCTACGCATCTAGATTATAGCCCCGGATTTGCTCTCCCCTAAGATATTTTAACTGTACACGACTGCCCGCGTCAACATATGTCGCATGGTAATCCACTGCAGGCCACATCGCAACTGAACTTGATCTATACGAAGGGCCGATATATGTTATTGCTGTAGAGGAAGAAATACAGTAAAACATGTTTTTTTCATTTGAGGGTGTTCGTTTCATGAACAGGATTTGTTGACTGTATCTACGCCCCGATTCCATTCGCCAGTGGCGAGAAAGTTCAACTGCCACTTGCATCAAGGATGCATGATCACTGAGCCTATCAAGCATGTACAAATGCCTATCAAGAGGGGGATAATGCAAGGAGGCTGAATCCTTAGTGATGCTGTAACGGAGGGTATTCACGGTGACAGTAGAAGTGGGTCACAATGAATCAATCTGACCGATGCTGCTCATATTCTCCTGTCACATATTGTAAGTGCGGTTGAATAGAACTAATCTACCAATACATCAACCCATAAATAATAATCAATAATAATAATTATGTTTATTATATATACTGAAATTAAACGCGAGAGGCAATTTGTGATATCTCGCTACTGGCGCTGAACATTGAACTGTTATATGGCTCATGCGTGCTACATATTTAGCGCATTAATGGTTCTGTACGGGAATTATTTGCAAAGCGATTTAATGGTGTTGTTCGGTGATTAAATGCATAGATAAGCCCATGTTTCTCTAACTTGTGTACCAGATATAGCAAGTAACACACATTATGGGAAATTTTCGTACATGCTAGCCGCGATGCATGCTGCGATGTTGCTCGGCCATTCTTCAGAATATTGGAAGTAATGAAACCACTCTAGATAATTGGAGTCAGCACTGTGAGCATAATCAGTACCAGAATTATGGTTTGTAGTACCAGAAACAGGGTATACCTTTGACACCTTCTATGAATATCTACTTCATCAAATGTCGTGCCGAAATAAAATAAAAAGTGCATGCCAGTATACTCATTGGATCATAAAATAGAATAACAATGCTCTGGGGGGGGGTATGTGTATGTGTGTGTAGGGGGGTATGTGTATGTGTGTGTGGGGGATGGGTATGTGTATGTGAATGTGTGTGTGGGGGGTATGTGTATGTGTGTGTGTGAGAGATGTGTATGTGTATGTGTGTGTGGGGGGTATGTGTATATGTGTGTGGGGGAATGTGTATGTGTGGGGGGATGTGTATGTGTGTGTGTGTGTGTGTGTGTGTGTGTGTGTGTGTGTGTGTGTGTGTGTGTGTGTGTGTGTGTGTGTGTGTGTGTGTGTGTGTGTGTGTGTGTGTGTGTGTGTGTGCATGTGTGTGTATGTGTGTACGTGCGCGTGTGCGTGTATGTGCACGTTAACGATAACGGCCCAATGATATTGTTGTATTGTACATTGTGCGTTGTAATTAACCAGTAGCGCTTCTAGCCAGGCGAGGCAGTGGAACTGTGTTCTGGCCTGGTGGTTCGTTGTTGTTTTGGTAATGACGCGGGATGTAATGTACGGCACTATATATATTTGCGTAGCCTCGTCGCCAGCCACGTAGCCAAGGCCCGGTCGTAATGACGAAAAACCGGACGGATTGAAATGTCGCCGGGCGGTTTTCGGAAACGTATAAATAGGCACGGACGAAAGATCATAAGTAAGTTATTACCCAGAGGAAGAAACGAGAGACGATGTAGTGGAGATAGACGAAAACAGAGATGACGGGACCTAGGCACGGTCACCTATAGGTTGCCGTATGTATATATTTTTTATTGTGTTTACTAATAAAGTCAATCTTCAAGAAAAAATTCTGCGACTACATCGTCTTTACTCTTCGCTACCATTTGCTAACATCTTTACAACTCTACAATTCTACGATGCCGAAGCGGAGATCGATCAACAACATTTTTCCCAGTACAACAATTTCCAAGTATGCGGAGTAATGTAGCTAGCTCTGTAATCCGCTAGAAAGAACTATTGATCTTGTTAGTTTTCATGACCATTACTTCATTTCAATTCGTCAATAAGTTACCAGTAGCAACTAATTGTCTTCCGATCCGCGTTGGCCGTACAGATATCGCACGCCTGTATCCCGAGCTAACGATGTTCGCAGGCTTCCTCGGCTATATTTTGAATCTGGCAATTCGTGAAGGTGAAAAGTAGGTCAATTCTCAATCGCATTATCTGTACCAATACATTACGACTGTTTAATAATGAATGTGCGAGCTGCAAAATATTATCTAATTGATTTGTTCCTTTCCCAGCGTTTGTACTAATGACTAAGCGTTTATCGAACGATTGAGCATGTATTCTATAGTGCATGTGTTCTTCTGCGATTGCGATGGTTTATGAATGTGTAGCGGCAATAAAAAAAATTGACGTATTGTACGCATATAAAGTGAAGCACTGAGCATTATTATGTATATATATATACGTGTGTGTGTGTGTGTGTGTGTGCGTGCGTCCGTGCGTGCGTGCGTTCGTGCGTCGTGTGGCGTGCGGCGTCGTGCTGTTGCTGTGTGTGGGTGTGTCGTGCGGTTGTGGTGGGTGTGTTTGTGGTGTTTGTGTGTTGCGTGTGGTGCTTTGTGTTGGTGTGCAATGGTGTGGGTGTGTGTGTTGTGTAGTGTGTGTGTGGTGTGTGTGTCGCGTGTGTGTGTTAATCGTTGACAACATAGACAGTTATGAAAACAATATCAAGAATAACAACATAACATGCAGAAGCCAATATTTAGATACATATATACATATATAAATTATGGATCTGTAAAGCAGAATTCTTTTCGTGCGTCAACAACCCTTTTTTCTAACAGTAAGTGTATTTATAACTAGAGCCTAGACATCCATGCTTACAATTAGATCGGATGCCTCATGGTAATGCTGACCTTATTCGTATTTTCATGGTGCTAATTAACTGCTATTTGGTCAGATGCATCTTACTATGCATTGGAAACTGAGCTCGATCTTCGCATGCAGCCTATCTATATATATATAGAACACATTGTCAAGCCGAATAGGCCTACCCATAACTACGAGACTCCGCACCTAAGCGCGAAAACTAAAATAAACTTTTAAGAATCAGCACGTCTGGAGGTGGTCGTCTGCAAACAAAAGTTCAGAAAAGTTCAAAAAAATTGATAAAAATCTATTACAATAGATGGCGGTGTGTACATATTAACATCACGTACGTTGTGAACATTCGTATACCCTTGCTGTATTCGTTTTTTATTGTAATATCTTTTATCTTTTGATTTCTATTATTTATGTTGGGAGGGAGGGCATGCGATGCATGCGATTCATGGCAGGGAGGGATGGGATGGATATGGATGGGATGCGGTGGAGGATGGGGATGGCATGGGAGCCAATGCAGGGATGGATGTCATGGAGGCATGGGATAACATGGCTCGATGGGATTAGGAAGGGATGGATGGATGCAATGGAAATGGGATGCATGCTGGATCATGGATAAGATAGATAGTTCGATTTTTGATCATTTCCTTTCCAACCAAGCGGTCCACCCACTGAGGAACGCCACGATTTCCCCGGCCAACGCCGGGTATTCCCGCAGTATAGATATATGCTAATGGTGCGTGCGCTGTGTGTAGTGGAGCTTGTAGTGTGGTGGTGTGTGTGGGTGGTGTGGTGTGTGTGTGTATGTGTGTACGTGTGTGTGTACGTGTGTGTGATAAATAGAAGATAGTGTTCTTGCATATTTCTACATCAATGTTGAATTGACGGGTTTTCCGCTGAAGTTCAATTCCTGCATGACGCATATTCTGACCTGACATACATCGGCCAACTAGCTAAAACAAGCAATACTTATAATAAGTATAAATAAAAATACAATATAATACAACATGTGATCTGTAAAGTAGCATTCTTTTGCGTGCTCAACAACCTTAGTCATTCCATACTTACAATTAGAGTCGGGATTCATAATTATTAATATGGCATCATGGTATTGGCTTGACCTTATTATTCGTATTTTCATCTTGGCTATGCCAGAAGGCGTGTGCATGATCAACAGCTACCGCGACATCGGTATCGGCCTATATTCACTGCTAGTAGTCCATTTAATTCTCTAATTCAGTGTCTCAATCAATATAATAGCCACGTACGTTGGTACGGAATATGTGATGTAGTGTGATGCTGCTTTGATGACGGCGTTATAGGGTGGCTAGCTTGTGAGAGCGTGTTCACCAAAACGCTTATATGAGATCATTACGTCGAGTTACACACACGCGTAAAATGCTTCCTCAATAACATCACACCACTGGAACGAAAAGGGAAACGTTCGCAATCGAACGCAGGGCCATGTTTTCTCTGGCCCCGCTCACATCCGTTCACGCTTTATAACCGGAAGACTGGCGTGCGGTCGGAGATTTTCTCAGTGCACCTACTAGTATTCGTTTCTCGTATGTTTTGTTAATGGAGAGATGTCGCATCCGGCGAAAAAAACATCAATCGACGCGTTGCGTTCTTTTTTAATCGAACGACCGTCTATCATGAGACAATACTATAGTTGATGAATATAGTTACAATAAACTGATAATTACGATGCTTGTCGATCAAAATTACATAATGAATAATCACACATTAAATCCATAGTTTTTACTATGGGTTTCTTATAATAGCTCGTTTCATCAAAATACATATCATATTTATTTTATTTTACACATACATATGTTGTTTACAGAATATCGGTATCACGTTGACAGCTACTATTATTTCCCCATTTGGTGTTAAACAACAACAGCTAGAGTCGAGACAAGATTTATTCAGGTCTTCGCGATCAATTGACATTCACTGCGAATGCTAAATGCTGGTACGTGTGATCTATGCGTTAGCAGGCTGCGCTGAGACTGTTACCAATAGTCTGTCATACAGTTACACAGCACGCGTCTGCAGGCGCGCTTAGCCTCTCCGTAATGTATACAAGCAGCTTCTCAGCGCGCACCATCTCGCTCACCGTCCACAACGTCAGGGCACGTCACATATTATTATTGTGTGTGTGTGTGCGTGCGTGCGTGCGTGCGTGTGTGCGTGCAGGTGTGTGTGCGTGCTTGCGTGCGTGCGTGTGTGTGTGTGTGCGTGCGTGTGTGTGTGTGTGTGCGTGCGTGCGTGCGTGTGTGCATGTGTGTGTGCGTAGGGTGTTGTTGTGTGTGTGTGTGTGCTGTGTGTTGTGGGGTTGTGTGTGTGTGTTGTGTGTGTGTGTAAGCTGTGTGTCTGCTGTCGTGCGTGTCGTGCTGTACGCCTCGTGTCGCAGCGTGCTGTGCGTGCGTCGCGTGCGTGTCGTGCGGCGTCGTGTGCGTGCAGTGTGTGTGTGCGTGCCGTGCGTGCGGTGCGCTGCCCGTTGCGTGTGTCGATGTGGTGTGCGTGCGTGCTGGCGTGTTTGTACGTATGTGGCGTGCGTGCGTGCGCCGTGTGTGTGCTGTCGTGCGTGCGTGCGTGTTGCCTGTGGGTGCGTTGAGACCGTGTTTGTTAACGAGAAGCAATCTGGACTGCCACTGCCCTGATGCATGAGAGAGGAGGTGTGTCTTTGAGTTTGGCTCGTTTGCGTCGGCCTACATGCATGTGCCTAGACCTGGAGCAGGTATATGATCATGAACGTCTTACGACGTATAGCGCCGGTGTTGCATCTGCCGTGTCTGCGTGTGTGGCTGGGTTCAGTGCGCATGTGTGCGTGGTGCGTCCAATCGTGTAGCGATGCATTTGATGTTAATATGACTACGTTCAGCGTGGCGTGCTGTGCAAGGTGTGTGTGCGTGGCGTGGGTGCGTGCGGTGCGTGCGTGTGTCATAATTGTCTATTGGTAAATGATTGGTTGAGCTAAGCTGGTTGTTGCCCGTGCGATGCGTGTGTTTTGACTAACGAATTAAAAGTGCATTGAGCGTGCGAACTGAACGTGGATCTGACCCTAGTAACGAATCCTCCCAAGGTCTTTACCCTGATAGAGATTAGTTTAACCATTAAAAAATGCCCTGGGAAAAACCTTGGACGAGTGCGTCGCTGTATCTCGAATATGCGGTTCGTGCGATGATGATGGCGCATTGTTTACGTATGACGGTCTCAGTAACTGCTTAGCGCGCCTGCAAATCCGGCCCGGAAACAGTTACGCGCTCGGCGATGCGCTCAGCGTGCGTATTCGAGTGCTACTTGGAGTGAACTCAATGTAATACTTTTAGCGCAATGTAGCCATGGATCAGTACACCCCAGTTTCCCAGCGTGCGCTCGAGTGCATACAATATTTGAGCAAAATAATAAAGAACTGAGTTTTAAACAGCCACCTATGTATATCACAGCCAAAGCCAGTTAATCGACGTGAGTTCAGCAAGTTCGCGAAAATTGCATACATTGAACCATATTCCCAGCTTAATCTAAACGTAGGGGGCAGCCAGGTGATAGCGTTCGATCCATAAGCCAACCTAGTACCAACAACGGTACTTGCGCCGAGTTAGATGGTGCCTTCTTAGCCTCACTTCATAATGATACGATTTATTTGAACATCTATATTACCATACGCCGATGTAAACAAATAAGTAAAAAATCATTCAAGAAGCCAAATTATACCCTTTGACGCTCACAGAAAATACAGGACGAGGCAAATATACATGATCATTAGCTTCACGGTCGCTCCTACACACGGGTGCAAATTAGTGGAAAATGATGTAGTCAATTGATTATGTCAATTCGCGAGGTTACATTTACTCTTATTCTAACTGTTTCTAGCGCGCAATAATGCGAGTTGTAGAGGTAG